GAGAAACGCTCTTCATGGCCTTCAACATCCTCTTCTCCATCATCATCGTCCTCTTCGCTTTCGCTATCATCGCCCTCCTCACTTTCACTTTCCGCTTCTCCACCCCTAGTTTGCATTGTCTTCTATCTCTACAGCAGTGTTATTCAATAGCATATCATGAGCCGCCTGTACATAACATCTGGATTCCCCGGTTAATACTTTACCATTAAGTGCAGCTTGTAGCATATCTATACGGGTATGTCGCTGCAAGTAGACAATAAAATAAAATAGACCATTAATTTTATTTTTTATAATTTTAATAGTATACCCTATCGCCAGCTCAAGACAAAATATCTCAATGATATCAAGTACATATCAAGTGAGAAACGCTCTTCTATGTATTTTCGTAGGTCATCTAACCTATTTTTATTGTCAATCATAAATGTACATGCATCATCACCAATATAATCTAAAGTCCCATCAACACTTGATCGGAACTCTCCACCAAAAATACAATAAATCAGTCTTCTATAACTCATTTCTTTTATCCTGCATAAGATTTGTAATAATTTACACTTCACAAATTGCATTACAATGTCTTAATACTGGCCTTGAACTTGTCCAAGTTTGGTAGACTCAAGCTACATTTTTTTAAAAGAGCTACAACTAAATTTTAACAAGAGGTAAGCATATTGTTTGAGGGTATATAACCTACAAAAACATTTCTAGCAATGATTATCTGAATACTGCAATCTTAACGATTTTTCCATATTAATGTCTCGAGTTTTTAGTAAATTATGGAAAATATATTGTAATAAAGAGCCTCAAAAGAAGACCCAACTTTTAAGATGATCACGCAATTCAATATTTCTACTATTAAAAAACTAATTCAAGTCCAAGTTTAACTAGCACAATGCCTTTCTTTTGCGAAATGAAACAAAACTGAATGACTTTGTAAATGTGAATTCGAATGCATTTGAAATTGGAGAAAAACCTCATCCTAAAGCTCTAATATATAAACAAGGGCAAGCTTTCTATGTTTCCCCTACAACATAAAACTTATATACTTCCCCTTATCCAACCATTCATTCTGAATTGAGGGCTAAGATTGCTCCAATCATAATGTCACATGTCTACACTATTTATTTTTAATTTTTTTTACAAACTATTTTGACAATAAATTTTGGATGCTTATTTTTAATTTTTTTCACTAGTGCGAGTTTAATAGAGGATTGGACATCCAAAATTTAGTGCCAAAATAGTTTATAGAAAAGAAAAAANNNAAATATATATATATATATATATATATAATAATAATAACTAATAACTAACTAACTAAACTAAACTAACTAAACTAACTAACGTAACTAACGTAACTAACGTTAACGTAACTTAACGTTAA